ACGGTCGGCCGTGCACAAACCTCACGTCTCTCAGCACGGTCGTGCGTGCTCGGCCACCACTTTGCGTGGCTACACCCAACCAGGGCCGGCGTTCGGTTCAAAGTTCCAAGTCCACTATTTTACCCAAAACACATTATAACACACGAAAAGATCACACGCTTGCTATAGACGAGAATCCTCAAAAGAATTCGAATACGGTTTTTCCGTCGGGAGTAATCCCAATCAATAGCTCCTGCCCAGAATTACAACAACTAGCTCGCCTCGACTCTTCCGACTAACAGTGTCGGCTCTCACGTCAGCTCTTACCCAAGTAGCTGACCGTGCCAGTGGTCCTGATCGAGCGCAACTCACTTTTCAATCTTCACACTTTGGAATTTGATCGCGAAGTTCTTCCCAGGATTCCGAAAGGATAAAAAGAACAAAAATTTCTACGATGAAAAAAATTTAGAATAAGGACGATTCTGCACTACGCGATGTGCTTGCTTCTGACTTGACTATCCTCCTTAAAAGACTTCTGCATAATCTTTTAAGGTGTAAAAACACTCCATCTTCTTATCGAACCGAATTGTGCTGGCTTCAGCTCCTGTGCGTTTATCTCGATGCCGAGCGTGAATAATTATTGTCCCCTCGAAGTTAGGTTATTCACAAAAGTGGCGATAGAAAAATTTTGCCCTCGAGTCTTCGCGATATTTTAGCGATGGCATTCGAACGAAACTCTCATACTTCGCAAACGAATAAAGATAAGCAGAAACAAATAGATGTTTAATCTTACTTGCAATCGGGTCTTTCAAAAACAAGGTTAATACCCGACTTAGGATAAAAAATATTGGCTAAACTTCAAGAGAAAACGAAATTTAAAGTTGGGAAGCTTCAAAAAAATTGCTGACACAGCGAAACCAAGGTAGGGGTTTGAACATACCCCAAATAAAACAAGAAATGAATTCGGTCGACCGCAACTTCCAGTGTCTATTGCTCGAGTTAGCGGTATCACGAAACAAGTTTCAAAAGATAAGGATCAACAGGAAATAAATATGTCGAGTCATTCCTACGCCAGGAATGGAAAGTCTAGCGAAATCGCAAAAATTAGATAGCAGGCAATGGTCTCAAAACAAACTTCGAACTTGCCTTCAAGGCAATTCTAAACAAGGTCTTTGACTCGCGGAGGCAGACCCGGATTTACAAAAAGAATAAAGTACATAGCTCCATCCGATCTTCTTCTTACGTAGGGAAAGAAACATAAGCGAAAGTTTCAAAGTCTGGAAATTGCATAGCCCAAAAGAAGTCTCAAGCACAATTCAACATTGGTCTGCCAAACAAAAGGGAATAAAATAAGGTTTGCAAAAACCTACGAGAAGGCAAAAGCTTAAGAAGGAACAAGACGGCTTTGCTTCGGCAAGTTCACGTTTTTCTGCCTCCATCATTGGTTCAAGTTCTTCCCGGTAAGTCCCGTTGTCACTAGAAAATTGCTCGCGGCGCAAAATACGGAAAAGAATTTTTTGACGTCTCCATCAAGATAGAAATGCCACTTGAGGTCACAAAATATGCACGCGGTGCCAGATCGGTCTATCCGCCTTAAGAACAAGGTCGGATTCCTTCGTTTAAGCCTTCTCCTTACGAGATGGCTCGTGAATGGTCCTCATCCGAAGACACCAAAAATACATCGAGAGGACTGTTATACACAGAACTCAGCTCGATAACATCATAGCGAATTTCTAAACAAACAAAACCTCAAGTTAGAACTTAACTCTATATCGCTAGAGTTCAAGTTAATACAACTAAGGTTCGCCATTCATATAGAGTTCCAGAACGTTTAAAAGTAGGAGGATAAATTCCTAAGTCCCGGTTTACATCTCATAATGTCATAATACTTCACATAAGAAATTTTATATTACTCAAGTATTCATACCTGAGTTGGGGCGGCACAACGAAAGCGAGTGGTCATATACTACATCATTTTATGCAAGTATTTCACAGGTTCTAATAATTCACGTATACCAGTCTACAGAAACGCATACTGACTCTGATACCAAACTGTAACGCCCCACTTTGATTTCAAAGAAATTCCGGACTTTCACAAAAATCAAAATAAATTTTTCAAAATTTATTTCAAACATTTGTGGCGTTACTCATATATTTCAAATTACTTCAACGACATAACATCAATTTCATAACATAAATCATCAATTCGCCCAAATCGGGTTCCCAAAACAAAACTCAAGTTGCAAGACATAACAATGTCAACGGGGCATCTCCCCAATCGTATCTCAATACTTTTTAAATTCCCAGAGTTCAAAATTTCATAAATCATAAATAATCATAAGTATAGCAGAAGCAAAATCAATTAATAACCGGTCTCATAGACCGACTACCACTCGCTTAACTCCACCGTCGTACCCGCCTTGCTTAACCTAAAACGTTAATTTCAGGTGGGGATAAGCACAGTTGGAAATCATAGTGCTCACCACTATGCAATAAACATTTTCATAATATAACAAGTATGGTCGCAGCATGTATACGAATCATTAAATCATTCCATCTCCTATCCCAGAGTTAACCCTCATGTGCACACCTACACATAGACGACTGCTGATACTCGATTCGAATGCCAAAACCTACGCCTTGGTCTTACAATGATGCCCAGCCAGTAGGAGTAATCTACCCCGTTGGCCAAGACCTACGAATTGGTCTTACAAACGGGGATCACCAGCCGAGGGCCCATGCCCCGGTCTTACGGCCATACATAAATAAAGGAAACTACCCATCGGGTACGTTCTATAGCTACGGAGATAACCGTTCGACGGTCGGTATAGCTCACATCGAAGGCTACATGGTTCACATGCATACATTGATCATACCACAATATAAGTCATAACATTTACAGCATAGCGAATTTTATAATAATGAACACACCTGGTAAAAATAGGAGATAAAGCACAACAAGATAGGAAGGCGAGCTCGACTCGTCAAATACCTACATATATTAAGATGATCCTATGAATAACTATTCCACAATGAGTTCACTCATTTCGACATTCATGTGATCATACTCGATTCATATACTTCATGTAAGCAAGCATTAAAAAGATAAATTTGATTTTCAAAAGTAACACATAAATTTTCAAAACATAACCCGTGCAGCGATTTTGAAATCGACACCATTTACAGCACATAATTTATATTGACATAAATCAAGTTGCATATGAATCCTAAGACATGCCTCTACATTTCTCATGAAGACATCAGAAGTAAATAATGGCATTTAGCAGGTCTTAAATTATCAAACATCTGAAACAAGGATGCTGTGAAAAATCTGGAAACATATAGCGGACAGGACTTCAGTATATTCAATATAAATGGAGCTACAGACATGCTATTGAGGAAATTCAAAAACAAAAATCCAGCCAACTTAGTTATCTAAAACTTTCATTGGAAAATAAATACATTATCAACGGTTTCAAACATAAAACATTTGAGTCACAAAATCTGTCAGAATTATGTTCAGTTTACAAACAGCACTTCAGTAATTCGAACCTAAATCATGCTACAGACCTCCAAAAGACATGCTTCAAAAACCTATGAACTGCCAAGAAGCATAGAAACAATTATCATGAAGACACTTTCACATTTGAGCATGTTAGAACATCAATCGCAGACCAAACATCAACATCATATACACAACCGATTTTCAGAAAAAACTGCTTGCACAACATTTTTATAAAAATTACACCTCATGCTAAACTTATCATATTGCCATGCTTTTTACCTTCTTAAAAACCTAAGAGACAGTTCTACAACTTTCATTTAGAACACTAAAGCAGATAAAGTCATTACAGAGGGGCAAAATCAATTAACATTTGAATCAGTTTCAGTCCAAAGGTATAAACTCACTTCATGCATATTCTACTTCAATTTAATACAAATTGAGCTACAGTCATCATATCAGCATGAATTTTACCTCATCATAAAGCTTAGAGATAGACCTATAACACTGATGATGATCACATTTTCATTTGAGCACATGCTGCCGGGATTTGTTAAAAACTTCTTGCGCGACAATTTTGTAAAAATCATACTCTCTCGTTTCAAGTCGGATTTCGGAAATTCCAAAACTCGTAAACCGAATCGAGAGAAGGGATGGATGGGCGCAACCGTGCGGTGCTCGGGCTCGACGGGTCACGCGTCTCGGCTCGGTAACATCGCGTGACTCGTTCGTGGCTCNNNNGGCGACGAGGTAAGCGAACAGTGGGGCCGGTATTCACTCACGGCAAAGGCTGGTGGTGGCGGCGTCTCTTCTTCCTTCCGGTGAGAGAGGCGAGGGAGCGAGGGTGAAGAGAGAGCGATCGATTCTTCTCTCCTTTTTTTTACGCAAGAGAGAAGAGATTGAGAGATGGTGGCGATCAATCTGAGGGGAGAGAGAGAGAGAGATATGTTGCTTGAGGAAAAGAAAAATAGAGAGGAAGGGAAGAAAAATCTCATGGTTTTATAGGCTTAGGGTATAAGTCTTTCCCAACAAAAAAAGAAAAGCGGGTCGGCTTTGGGTTTTGGGCGCTGGTTCGGATATGGCCTGGCGACATGGCCATGTCAGTAGGCTCGTTAAATAATTTAAAGCTCGACTTATATTAAATCCGATAATTTTCACAACACTCGGAAAATATAATGTGACGTCGTCCAAAAAATTAATAAAATAAATCCGGCAATATATATTATCACATAATAATATACATATAATCCACATATTAATATCACTTAGGCATTTACTTCAAATAAATAATATTTATGCCAATAAAGCAATATTCAAAAATTCCAATATTCGAACGGCTTAGAATCGAGCTACACGATTAAACCGAAACCGCTGAACGACGAATGCTTTTAGAATAAAACGGTCGAGTACTACAACATATTATTTAGGTCGACATCACGACCATTAAAATAAATATAACCTAATAAACAATATTCGATAAATAGAATATTTCGAGAAATTCTATAAATCGAACGGGGCGCTACAGTACAATAATTTGTCCATCTTCATTTACCGCCGGTAACCGAGTATGAGCTTCACGGGCATAACCTAAGCTTCTTTTCAGTTGTGATACATGGATGACGGGGTGAATTTGAGACCCCTCATGTAACTCTAGTGTGTATGCCACTTCACCTATCCTTTCTATGATTTGATAAGGCCCGTAAAATCGATTCCCCAACTTGTATAACACCTTTTGAGAAATAGTTTGTTGACGGTGCGGCCTTAACTTGAGATAAACCCAATCCCCTGACCCAAATGTCTCCTCCCGACGTCCTTTGTCATAGTACTCTTTCATTCTATTAATTGATCGGGATAAATTCTGTTTGAGCTCTCTGATCAACAAGTCCCGTTCCATTAACTCCCGGTGAACTTCTGCATTTGGGGACTTTCCCACCGGATAACTGACAAGCATTTGAGTTGCTCGTCCGTATACCAATTCAAATGGGGTAAACTTGGTAGATGCGTGAAAAGTGGTATTATACCAGAATTCGGCCCAAGGCAAGAACCCCTTCCATTTCATGGGAAATTGGTGAACAAAACATCGAAGGTATTATTCAAGTGTACGATTAGTTACCTCGGTTTGCCCGTCTGTCTGAGGATGGTACGCTGAACTCATAGCTAATTCGGTCCCCTGCATCTTGAAAAATTCTCTCTAGATGTTACTCATAAAAATTCCGTCTCGATCAATTACTATAGACCGGGGTATCCCATGTAACTTGACCACTAATTCAACAAATAACCTTGCTATAGATTTTGTTGTATAAGGATGAGTTAAGGGAATGAAATATGCATACTTGGTTAGATGATATACCACCACCATAACTCCGTTTAACCCATTGGATCTCGGTAATCCCTCGATAAAATCCATAGAGATATCCTCCCATATACGATCGGGTACCGGTAGAGGTTGCAACAAGCCACTCGGTTTTCGTGAATCCGATTTCACCCTTTGACAAACATCACACTTCGCTACAAAATCACGTACATTGTTTTTCTGCCCGGGCCAATAGAAAGTATTAGACAGTCGTACCCATGTACGGTACACCCCGGAATGGCCTCCGATCTTTGAATCATGAAAGTATTGCATGATCGAGCTTCTTAACTGTTCTGTCTCTGGTACGTAAACCTTCACTTTGAACATCAACAGCCCATCATACATATCATACTATTGTACCGTCTCATCTTGTGCCTCCATAAGACGACGAGTCTCATTACAAAAGGCATCTAGTGCATGTGCCTCTCGTAATTGATACCATATGGCCCATGTCGGTCCGGAGATAGCCTGGAGTTTAGCCACGTCAGTGCGACGTGACAATGCATCCGCCACCGAGTTCTGTCATCCCGGTCAATAGCAAATCTCGAAATCGAAACCCATCAACTTTGATACAAATTTTTGTTGCTGCGGGGTCACTATGCATCGCTCTAGTAAGTGTTTTAGAGGCTGTTGGTCCGTCAAGATCTTGAAACGTCGGCCCAAGAGATACGGCCTCCAAACCCTTACTGCTTCAATGACGGTGAGCATCTCTTTCACGTATACTGACCACCCGATGAGCATGCTCCCTAAAGCCTTACTCAAATAGGCGATTGTTCAGTTCTCTTGTGAAAGTACGGCCCCAATTCCTATGTCACTAGCATCGATATGTACCTCAAACATGATGTCAAACCTGGGCATGGCTAAAACGGGAGTAGTCGTCATAGCCAATTTGAGTTGATCAAATGCTTCCTCACTCGCCATCGTCCATTTGAATCCTCCCTTTTTGGTCATGTCCGTCAGAGGCTTAGCAATCGAGCCATAATCATTGACAAATTTCCGGTAATAGCCTGTTAGTCCCAAGAATCCTCTCAATTCTTTCAAACTCTTTGGCTTCGGCCAATCTTGCATAGCCTCAATTTTTCGAGGATCCACATTCACACCTTCATAGGAAATTATATGCCCCAAATATTCTACCGATCCTTGGCCAAATGAGCACTTAGACGGTTTTTTATGAAAAGCATTCGCCGCCAATATGCTCAATACCACTCTCAAATGCTCAAGATGTTCATTCCAGTTTTTTAAATAGACCAATATATCATCAAAAAACACCAAGACAAAATTACGCAAAAACTCCAGAAAGATAGATTTCATAGAAAATTGAAAGGTCAAAGGAGCATTACATAAACTAAACGGCATTACCAGATATTCATAGTGACCTTGGTGAGTACGAAACGTCGTCTTTGGGATGTCTTCCTCCGCCACCCTTATCTGATGGTAACTCTGCCACCCTTATCTGATGGTAACCCGCCCTGAGATCCAATTTTGAAAAATATTTCGATCCTCCATGCTCATCCAGCATGTCGTCAATACTAGGAATTGGGATGCGGTCTTTTATGGTTGTCGCATTTAGCACCCGATAGTGTGTACAAAATCTCCAAGTTCTATCTTTTTTCTTAGCTAATAATACAGGAGAAGAGAATGGGCTAGTACTGTGCCCAATCAACCCGGTTTCTAGCATTTCACGTACTTGTCTCTCAATCTCTGTTTTTTTAAAATGAGCATAACGGTAAGGATGAACATGTACCGCCTGAGTCTCATCCTTCAATGGTATGTGGTGATCGAAAGTTCGCCATGGAGGAAGACCGTTAGGTTCGGTCATCACTTCACCAAATTGATCTAGCAAGTCTTGTACCTCTCGATTAATTGACGGTTCCTTCTCGAGCTCCTTCTCTTTTTTCTCCACCTTCATAGCAAAGAGTTGGCTACCCCCCTTCCACAATTTTTCCAAGTTATTCAAGCTCGTCTTCTTTGCTCCCTCATTATTTCCAGCCGACAACTTAACTATTCCGTCACCCCAACGAAATTCCATCGTGCCCACCTTGTAATCCGTCGTTACCGGTCCTAACCCTTCCAGCTACTACACCCCAAATACAACATCCGGACCTACTAGTGTCAATTCATAGAGATAGGCATTTAGAGTCACACCCTGTATCTTGATAGGCACATCTTTAAAAAATTCCAAACATCTCAATCGATCCCCATTAGCCACCCTCACATCAAAAGGATCCACCTTAGTCATCGGTAAATTCAATTTATTTGACAAGGTAGTGTTAATGAAATTATGAGACGAACTGTTATCCACTAGCACCACCACTCTTTGATCTCGAACCCACGCCAGCAATCTCATCGTCTTAGTGTCCTTGAGTTCCCGCCATTGCATGAACTAAGATCTCAGGATTATCCGTGTGTATCGGTGTCGTATTTGGGCTCGTCTACCTCATCTTCATCTTCCTCAATATCCTCGAATTCAATAAAAAAGAATTTTTTCACTTTGCATCTATACCCAGGTATGAAACTTTAATCACAGTTGAAGCAAAAACCCTTTTCCCTCTTTCGTTTCATCTCATCCCATGAAAGTCGTCGAACCCCCATTGGTATAGGTCTTGGATTTCTAGCTATCATCTCATCTCTGACCCCCGACTTGTGAACTGAAAACGTGTTAGGACGATGCACCTCAGGACGACTTACCCTCTTCATGGCCATCAAATCATCATCACGTATCCGAGCCGCTTCAGTGGCTTCCTGTAGAGTCTTCGGCCTCTCCAATCGGACCTCAGCTGCGAGCTCAGCCCTCAATCCACCTACGAATGCACCAATAACATGACTTGCTATTCGTTCAAATTCTTTTTGGTAGTCACGTAAACTCCCGACCTACTTGATGTGTGAAAGGGTTTCATCAAAGTCATGGAAATCCGACTCACCAAACCTCGTCATCAATTCCTTTTCAACTTGTCTCCAACGAATAGTATGATTTTTCTTCTTGTAAACTCTTGATACCCAACGCCACCACACATTCGCCTCTCCGTCGAGATAATAAGCAACAAATTTTACTCGTTCATTTCTCCGAACCTCATTAATTTCAAAATACTGACTTGCTCACCACGAATCGGATCTGTACTATTGAAAGTTGGTAAACTAACCTTAGGTTTTTCGTTCTTACGCCCTTTCCGTTGATTCGAGCCCCTTGAATGGTTATCGTCTTCGCCCACGAATCCATTATGGAATTTGGCTTCACTACTTGCGTCTGATTCCCTGTCCGACGAAGAATCGGAGTTGTTCCTCCATGCTTTCCTTGCTGCATTTTGGAGCAACATCCTCTCGATTCAAGCAACCACTTGATTCGTCGATTGTACGTCCTCGTTGATCGAACGTACGCTTTCCTCCAAACAATCAATTCTCTCTCGATTGGACAGGATACACGATCGGTGTTCTCTTAATGAAAGCACCAATGTTACGATCATGTATCAAAATTAAAGAAAAATACGAAAAAGTGTAAACCCGCATTGGAATGGCCGTCGGTCGAACCGAGATTTGGTGCTCAAACGAGCGTTTTTTTATTATGAAATTGCTTGAAAAGATAATCATGGTCTTGTCGTACAAATAGTTTTCATCTGAAAAAGGAAAAATAACTCCTACTGCTATTAGGTAACGGAATTAAAACTGCAAGAAAATAAATAAAATAATAAAGAGAACTGCAGATTCGTGTAGCGTCCTTCTCCTCCGTGGCGTGGCCTTCATCACGGCGTGTCCCTTTGGCCTGGCGTCGCGGCATGGCGACTGGAACTTCCAAACTCTTTGTCTGCCCGTGGAGTCCCTCACGTTCTGCTCCACGACGTGGTGGTTGGCGAGGCTCGCGGCGTGGAGTGCCCCTCAGCGTGAAGGTCTAATGTTGGTCCTTCTCTGTATGCCCGTGGCGTTCTTCACGGCGTGGTGGGGGTGAAGCACCGCGTCGCGGCGAGAACAACGATGTGGAGCTCGCCGTGGCGACCATCTGTTTCTCCATGAAAGCTGCTCTTGCTTTTGTCTCAGTCCTAACCTTCTTGAGTTGAGCTCGTCGGGCCTGATTGTACGCGTTTTTAAGGATCCGACCCTCGTTCGCATCAACAACATCGTACATTCAAAATATGGTTCCATAGAAGTTAGTTGAGACTACTCCTTACAAGATGTGGAAAGGGTACAACCCCAGTTTCTCACAATTTCGAGTATGGGGGTAGTCCTACACACGTGTTAGTGCAGTAACCTGGTAAGTTTGAGAAACGTTCGGAAGCACGAGTTTTCGTTGGCTATCCCAAGGGAACAAAAGGTGGATTATTTTATAGTCCCGAAGATCAGAAGGTGATTGTTAGCACGAACGCAAGATTCTTGTAAGAAGACTATACTATGAATCATAGGCCCGTGAGTAGACTAGTCCTAGAGGAGTTAAGGAGTGAAGTTGATGGTTCCCCACCGAGTGCGCAAGTAGATACATCACATAATATTGAAACACGACACATTAAGAGTGTACTAGTGCAGACAGTGCCTCATCGTAGTGAGAGGGTTTCTCATTTGCCCGACCAACGAATAGGTCTTGGAGAGTGACTCGGTTCTAGGAGACCTAGAATCAGACCCAAGGACCTACAACGAGGCACTCCAAGAAAAACATGCAGATTCATGAAATGTTGCAATGAAAGATGAAATCCAATAAGGTATGGGATCTTGTAGAACGATCCGATGGAGTACGACCCATTGGATGCAAGTGGATCTATAAGAGAAAGAGAGGATCGGATGGGAAGGTGCAAACGTCCAAAGCTAGGATTGTTGCAAAACGTTATACCCAGATTGAGGAAATAGACTATGATGAGAGCTTTTCGCTAGTAGCTATGCTTAAGTCCATTCGGATTCTCTTGACTTTAGCCGCTCATATGGATTATGAGGTCTGGCAGATGGATGTCAAGACGACTTTCCTTAATGGGAACCTTCAGGAGGACATCTATATGCAGCAACCAGAGTGATTCATTGCTAAGGGACGTGAGCATCTAGTGTCTAAGCTTAATCGGTCTATTTATAGGCTAAAGCAAGCTTCGAGATCTTTGAACATCCGTTTTGACGAGTTGATCCAGTCGTACGGGTTCACTCAATGTCCGAATGAGCACTGTGTGTACAAGAAAACCAGTGGGAGCGTGGTTGTGATTCTTGTTGTTTACGTAGATGACATACTTCTCATTGGAAACAGTAAGAAGGAGTTATCAGACGTAAAAGCGTGGTTGTCTAATCAGTTTGATATGAAAGACTTGGGTGAAGCAGGATACATTCTTAGTATTAGGGTCATTCGAGACCGTAAGAAGAGAATGTTGTGCTTATCCCAATCTTCATACATAGATAATGTCTTGGCCAGATTCAGCATGCAGGATTCCAAGAAAGATATGTTACCTTTCAAACATGGAATGCCTCTATCTAAGAAGATGTCTCCTAAGACGTCTCAAGAGATAGAAGACATGAAGACAATTCCTAATGCTTCGGCAATAGAAAGTCTTATGTATGATATGCTGTCTACGTCATTGGCGTGGTAGCTAGATATCAAAGTAATCCAGGAAGGGAATATCAGTCTGCAGTGAAACATATACTCAAGTACCTGAGAAGGACTAAGGAGTACATGTTAATTTACTGTGCAGACAGCTTGTTACCTCTGGGTTACAGTGATTCTGATTTTCAATCAGATAGCGACTTGATAGTCTTTCCCTACACGTTCTCTACTACTGTCTGATACTCCTTGAATTTCTCAAAGCATTCCGACTTGCGGTGTAGCAGATAGACATATCCATATCTCGAGTAATCATCAATGAATGTGACAAAGTACTCAAAACCTCCTCGAGCCTGGATTGACATAGGACCACATAAGTCAGAATGAATCAATCCTAGCACACTTTGGCTCCTATATTCCACTGCCGAAAACGGCCTCTTGGCCATCTTGCCTTCTAGGCATGATTCGCAAGTTGGGTAGTTATCTTCTAATTGACCAATTTGTCCTCTAGATACCAACTTTTGAATCCTCCTAAGGTTGATGTGTCGAAGTCTAAGGTGCCAAAGGTATGCCTGATTCATCTACGAAGGCTCCTTTCTCTTTTTAGATATAGTCATTACATTCAATTCTGATTGTTGCTGTTTGGGATAGTTTGGTTTAAGAACATACAAATTGCCATCTAATAAACCAGAACATATGAAACAATTTCCATAACAAATAACAACAATGTCATCAAACCAAGCAGAAAAACCATCCATAGAAAGTCTAGAAACTGAAAGAAGGTTCTTTCAAAAACTCGGAACATAAAGGCAATGTCTCAAAACCAAACTAATCATCAAAAGATAAAGTAACGACTCCCACTGCAACAGCCGCCACTTTCGTGGCATTGCCCATGTAGACGGTGATATCTCCCTCCTTAAGTCGTCTGGTTTCTTAGAACCCCTGCAAAGAATGGCAGACATGATCAGTGGCTCCAGTATCTACACACCAGGTACGGGTAAATACAACCGCTAAACATGTTTCTACGACATAAATAAGAGAGTTACCTTGTTTTCCCATCTTGAAGAGAGGGCAGTCGACCTTCCAATGTCCTGACTTGTTGCACTTGTGGCATCTATCTTCCAATTTCTTTGCCACTGCCTATGGGGCTGATCGCGGTGCAACCGGAGCAGTCTGTGCCTTCGCCTTTCATGCAGACTTCTTTCTCTTCCTGCCCTTGTAGGGCTTGGAAGGTCCAGCCTGCACGGCGACTAGCACATGAGACTTCTGAATGAAAAAGGCTTCTTCGACTGAAGCTCAACCGATAGTTCCGGGAGAGCCATATGCATCTTGTGCATGTTTGTATTCAACCGGAATAGGTCAAAGCTCTTCGGCAGAGACTGGAGCATAATATCAACCTGAGTTTCCCCGTCAATAAAACCTCCTAAGACCTCCAACTCATTGAGTTGTTCCATGACTCTTAAGGCATGCTCCCTCACGGGTGAGCATAAGCCATACGCGTGTTCATCAATGCACTCAAGGCTTTCTGCCTAGCAGACCCAGACTGATGCCCAAACAGATCCCTAAGATTGAAACGTATATCTGCCGCAGTGCCCATAGACTGATACTGATGTCGAAGAACATTCGACATAGATGCCAGAATGTAACACTTTGCCATCTCATCAGCCTTCTTCCACTGGGCATACTCCTCTTTCTCTGCATCCGGAGCATCGGCCGCGGGCACTTCCGGGCAAGCCTCGGTGATCACATACTTATATCCCTCAGCAGTCAAGACAATGTCTAAGTCACTCTTCCAATCAATATAGTTAGGACTAGTAAGCAGATTTTCTTTTAGAATGACAGATAACGGATTGAACGACATGATGGATATATCCTGAGAA